CCCCCTCCTCCTCCCCCCTCCTCCTCATCTTCCCTTCTCCTGCAGGCATCGACGCTTTCTGATTCTGGACGCCCGGAATGGGTACTGAAAGAATGCGTACAATGCCGAACAGCGGATCTTGTTCATGTTGAACAGGACTCGCGGTCTGCGCCGCCGCGGCCTGTGTCCATTCGAGGCAGGAGGCCGCCTGCCCCACAGCGGCCGCTGTTGGTTTGGAACGACATTTGTTGTTGGGCATTGTACCCATTCTTTCCGTACCCATTTCGGGCGTCCAAACAAACCACCCCAAGCCAACCAGAAGGCCTCAATTTGCCCCCCATTTCCAGTGGGGGGGGGGGTCGGGGAACATAGCAAAAGCACACATATGGAACCCGTACACCCCCCCAACCCGAACTTCGAGTCTTCGGGTTGGGTTGGGGTTGTCTGGTAGGGTAGTCAGCCCTCGACCGTGACAGAGCTCGGGCGGTTCCAAAAGGGGCCCCAGGGAAAGGGACTCTTGAGACGGGCGATGTCGATTTCTCAAGTCCGCTCGGCTTCGCCCGCAGGGTCGCCGCACGACACTGCCACTCGCACTTCTCGAAGTCAATCTGAGATGCAACGCCGCGGTCTCAGAAGTCCCTTTCGCTGGCGTCCCTGTAGCAAACGTATCAAGAACCCCCACCCTGACACGTCGATTAGTGAATTGTCCGTTTTCGGTTCTCGAGAGGGCGCCGCGGCTGTCATTTTCCAGGCTCGCGCCCGCCAGGTTAGGGCCCGAGGTCGTTGTCACTAAACTACGTTTTGCTACAGGGAGTTCTGCCCATCCCCGACAGAAGCCCCTCCACGAGGCTTCCCCCCCCGAGCTCCTGCCCCTATCTCGATGATCCCCAGGACGTTTGTTAGCCCAAGGTGTGCTTTCCTTCGTTGAGCCCCGCCCGATACCACGCAGAGCACCATGGCCCTGATTAGACCATCTGGGTCGTATCGAAGGGCTTCGGTGGAAGAGCACACGCTGGCGCTAGCACAGGTTCTGAGGATCATCGATTATCTCGGGCCGGGCGAAAGGGGGGGTTTGGGAAAGTGGGGGTTACGAAATTTGCTGCATGCAGCTGGTTTCGGCCTCAATGAGGGGCCATTCCTCGATACATAGCCGCCTCCGGCGCCGGGAGGCGCCGGGAAAATCAGCTACGTGAGCTGATTCTCAAACCCTCCCTTTACTGTCCCCCCCTTTCGCCCGACCCGATTATCCCTCGTCCCCCCTCCTCGTCCGGAGCCGCGTTTCCGCCCCCCGCCCGGGACAGCCCGCGGCGCGCCGGCGGCAGGCTTCTGGAGCTGGGGCAGCACAACCGGCGCCGCGCGAGGAGCGCCCGGCAACCCGCCCGCCCGCCGCCCGCCGCCCGCCGCCCGCCGCCCGCCTCCTGCCGCCCGCCGCCCGCCGCCGCCTCCGGCGCCGCTGTCGTCGTCGTCGCCGTCGCCGTCGGCGTCGGCGTCGGCGTCGGCGTCGGCGTCGTCGTCGTCGGCGTCGGCGTCGGCTTCGGCGTCGGCGTCGTCGGCGTCGGCGTCGGCGTCGGCGTCGGCTTCGGCGTCGTCGTCGGCGTCGGCGTCGTCGTCGTCGTCGTCGTCTAGGAGGGGGGGCAGGGGGAGGAAGAGGAGGAGGAGGGGGAGGCCGGAGGTGAAGCAGGAGGAGGAGGGGGATGAGGGATGAGGGATGAGGGATGAGGGATGAGGGATGAGGAATGAGGGATGAGTGCTGAGGGGTGAGGGAAGAGGGAAAAAGGATGAGGGATGAGGGGTGAGGGATGAGGGATTAGGGACGAGGGATGATGATGGTGCTGCTCATGATGATGGTGGTGGTGATGATTGACGATGATGATGATGCTGAGGTTGATGCTGATGCTGATGCTGATGCTGATGCTCATGACGATGATGATGATGATGATGATGATGATGCTGATGCTGATGCTGATGCTGATGCTGATGCTCATGATGATGATGATGATGATGATGATGATAATGATGATGATGATGATGATGATGATGATGATGATGATGATGATGATGATGATGATGATGATGATGATGATGATGATGATGATGATGATGATGATGATGATCGGACCGCACCGTGGAGCCTCGGGCGGCCCCCCCCTTGCGCCAGCGGGTGCCGCGGGTCGTGGGCGGGTCTTCCCCTCGATGCTTCGGTCCGCCCCTTCGTCGGTTCTTCGGACTCCGGAGTCCCAGACCGCGGAGGCCGGGGCCCGGCCTCCAGGAATGGATCGGTGGCCCCCCCAAACGGGGTGGCGACCACAGCGCGTGGGGCGTCGGTGGGGATTCGGGGCCACCGCACGGCTGTGGGGCTCGAGGCCCTCTCCGAGGACGTCTCGGGCGACAGGGGCCTCCTGGGTCCCAAGGCCATGCGGTGACGGACCGTGCGGTGAGGTCTTGGGGGATTTCGAGGTCACCGCACGGTTTGTCACCGCGCCGTTTCGGGACTCCCAAATGGACTCAGTCCCTTCCTGGGGTCTGGGCGACCTCGCAATTGGAGGCGCCCGGGTCCTGGCTGACGATCTTTTCCTCCACATGTGGGTAGGCGTGCTGCTCCTGGTTTTTTTGGATGCTCACGGGTGTTTCGTCCGTGGTGAGCACCCGGCTCCACCTTCTGTAGAGCAGCACCTCCCTCGTGGTGGTTGCCAGAGTTGACCTCTCTGAGGCAGCAACAAGCAGCCAGAGAAGTGCGCCTGGATCATCCATCTCACCTGCAGTGTGCCATTCTCTGACAGCAAGCAGCCATCTCTGCATGCTTCTCTGGCTGCTTGCTTACCAGTGCGCCTGGCATGCCCCCTCTAAGAAACCAGATCTCTTGCTTACCATCCCCTTCCAGGCCCTGTTCTGGGCCGTGCAAAGGTCTAGTGCACCGCGGCCGCGTCTGTCGCGCCAGACTAGCTCGCCGCTCTGCACGCGAGCTTGCGCGCGCTAGCGCGGCTGCGGCGATGCGCCAGCCAGCGTCAAGCAGTCGTCGCAATCAAGTTCGGCAGGGGGGACTGCACCACACATATTGCACAGCATATATTGCACACTATATATCGCGCAACATATATGGCATCACATATTTTGCACAGCATTGGTTGTGCCACCTATATTGCACCATATCTATTGCACCGCGCAGGTTGCACCACATATGGTGCACCACGTGGAAAGCACAGTATACGTGGCATACTAAAAGTTTCACAACATAGAATGCGCCACATATATATTGTACCAGACAAGGTACCACGTATTTTGCACCACATGCATTGTTCTACAAATGCATCATCACATAATTGCACCACGTCGACTGCACCGCATATATGGCTCAGCATGAATTGCACATCGTATATTGCACAGCATAGTTTGCACAACGATATACATATATATATAGATATATATATATCCCCAAGTAGATTGCACCACATATATTGCTCACATAGATTGTGCCATGTATGCCCCTCCACAGAAAGCACCACATATATTGTTAGACACGTGTTGTTTGGGCTCCACGCTGCCTAACCTCTTTATCTCTTTGCTTGTTCCTTCTCTTTCTCTATCTCTCTCTCTCTCTCCTCTCCCTTTACTCTCTCTCTCTCTCTCTCCTTCTTTTTGTTCTCTCTCTCTCTCTCTCTCTTATAGCCTTCGACCTATCCCGCCACCGTGCCTGGGTTGTGGGTCATAGGCCTCTTGGATGTTCGTTCTCCCGGCGGCCTCGTGGAGGCAGGCTAGAGTCCTCTCGGGGGCCGTTTTGCAGCCTCTTTTGGGCCTCTTGGAGGCCTCTTGGGGCCTCTTGGGGGCCTCTTGGGGGCCTCTTGGGGCCTCTTGGGGGGCCTCTTGGGGCCTCCTGGGGGGCTCATGGGGTTTAAGGTGCGGATTTTCGGTTCGCGTTCCCCCTATTGGGCCCTTCTCGGGGCTGTCTTTGGGGCTTCTTGGGTCGTCTTGGTTTGGGCCGCCTTGAAGCCCTCGTGAGCGTCTTGTGGCTCTGTCGGGGGCCTCTTGGGCCGTCTTGGGGGGCCTCTTGGGCTGCCTTGGAGCGTCGGGAGCTCGAAAAGTCGAGAACCCCCAAACATTGAAACACCATAGGATCATCAATTATTGTGACCTCTAAGCTCCTGGAGGCCTCTTGGCGCGTGTCGCAGGCTTCTCGGGCCATCATGGAGCCACCTTGAGCGTCTGGGCGAGCGCTGGGTGGTCTCTTTGCCCGTTTTGGGGCCCTCCTGGCTCCCAGGGAGTCATGCGGGAACACTCGCCACGCCCACGAATTTCCGGTAATTTGTGGTCCGGGCCCCTTCAGCAATCTTCAGGGTTGAGGGCTGAGGCTCAGGGGTTGAGCAAGGGACCTGGGGACACTCTGCTTCGTGCCACAGGGGCACAGTGGCGGATACATGCATGTGCCACGGGGCTCGCAAGGGAGCCCGTCGCCGAGGGCACTCGCACGCGTTGGCCACAGGAGGGTGCGAGCTGATGGAAAGCCCATTGGCTGGCCGACAACCTACGTTGTTCGGCGCTCTGGGGGACGCACTGTCACCTGGCCCTCCTTGCGGCGCCTGGCGCAACGCTCGGGAGCAAACGTGTGCCATACAGTCGGGGCCCTGAAGAAGGAACCCTTTTCGTTGGAGAGGGGCTCCGCGTTCCTTAAGTGTTTCACAGCTTGCCTCAGGTCTTCCTTATGTTTTCGATCGGAAATCGAAGTGTAACTTATGGAAAAAAGGGGCCTCGTTCCTTATTTAGGGTTCCTTAGGTCAACGCCCCGACTGTAGAGTGTTGCACCCAGGCTCCTGTGAGAGGCGCGCGCACAGGAAGCGCGCCGCGGGTGCGCCTCTGCAGCACCTGGCTGGGCCCGCCGCCGCCGCCGCCGTTGCTCCAGCCGCCGCTGCCGCCGCAGCTGCCGCCGCCCTGCGTCCTCCGGCGCGCTGCCGCTCCTGGAGCTCACCGCCCACCACAGCACCCCGACCCGACCCGAAGGCCCCGCTCTCTGCCACCCATTTTGCCCG